GACATGAATTAAGAACATTCAATCCCATTTTTTTACAGTACTATTTTCAATAACTCAAGCAACATTTGTGAAAGTACTTTATAAATTAACAGGGCTGGTCAGGGTGGGTGTTTCAAGTGAAGATTCAGAAACAGGACTTGCCAGTGTATACAGGTGGCATAATAAAGAGGAAAGCATGTGACTTTGGAGGAGGCTGATTTGGGTTCTAATCCCAGGCCCAATTTACTGACTATAACAAACACTTTTTAGCTATCATGTAATAAAACAAATCTAGAGAAGAAGCTATCAATGGTATCTTGTCTAAATCTCTAGTACAATGTAAGCTCCCTAGAGTAGGGATTTTTTCTTACCCCATTATTCAGCTGCAGCAACTGTGTTTGCATATTATAAATGCATTTAGTGGACATGAATTAAGAACATTCAATCCCATTTTTTTACAGTACTATTTTCAATAACTCAAGCAACATTTGTGAAAGTACTTTATAAATTAAAAAAAAACACCACTGAAATGCTTCTGTGAGTTATTGAGCTATGCATTTTTTTGTTGTTCTTCTTGGATTTCACCTTTCTTTACTCTCTGTCTAAGCAGCCAACCCTGTGTTCACGCCTCTGGAGGAACGTGATTCTGCAGAGCAAACATTTGGCTGGAGACTCTCTGATTGTTTACACCTGGTGACCATTCTGACTGACTGTTGTACAGTCTGTTGGTCAGTGCTGGTGTCATTTGGGTTATTAAATATTTCGGGTATCATTATGTGGTTTCAAGAAATGACATCTAGTTGTACTCTATGGAGAAAAGGGAAATGGCTGCCACCATAATCCCTTTTTTACAAAAGGAAAATGTGGCCCAAAGAGGTTTAATGACTTTCTTAGTATCTCATAATCAATAAATTGTAGGACTGGGATTATAACCCAAATGGGCCTTCTTCAAAGTCACATGATTTTCTATTTATTTTACTGCCTGAATCCATTGCCACATTCTAATTTTATTAAGAAACTAGAGGCCCGATGCATGAAAATTCATGCACTGGAGGGGGATCCCTCAGCCCGGCCTGCCCCCTCTCACAGTCCGGGAGCCCTCAGGGGCAGAAGGTAACCTGGCGATCAGGGGAAGTTGATGCCCCCATCACACCTCTGCTGATGCCACTGCCGGCAGCACAAGCCTTAGCTGACCCTGGTTACCTGAGCCTCAGGCAGCCATGGGCGGCTGGGTGGCTGCCATCCGAGGCTTGCCTGTGCCTCAGGCTGGCCCTGGGCAGCTGAGGGGCTGAGGGGACTGGGCACTGCCATCTTGTGGCTGTGGGCACCGCCATCTTTGAGGGTGTGGCAGTCAATTAGCATATTTCCTCCTTATTGGCTGTGGGCGCCACCATCTTTGCAACAGTGTGAGCGTCAATTAGCATATTCCCTCTTTATTAGATAGGATAATTGACATTCATCACTGTATAAGGTTAAGGTGTTCCACATGATGCTTTGATTTATATATCTTTTGAAGTGATTACAATAGGTTTAGTTAACATTGTCTCATATAGATATGATAAAAACAAAAGTTTTCTTCTTGTGATGAGAACTCTTAGGATCTACTCTCTGAGCATCTTTCCTGTATTTCATGCAGCAGTGTTAACTATAGCCACCATTCTGTAAGTTTCACCTTAGTCCTCACTTCTCTTAACACTGGAAGTTTGCATCTTTTGATCACCTTCCTCCAGGTCCTGTTTCTGAGTCTTCACTTGAAGCACGCACTATGATCAGCCTTGGGTTCCTTTCCACTCCTCCTGGACCACCCACATCCGTCATCTCCCACCCTCCGCTTCTGCATCTTGTGGGTCCCTCTTTCTTCCCAGCCCAATACCTTACCCAAGTCTCTTTCACCCTTAGTTTTTTTTTCTTTCTCTGCCTTCCCCCATTAAAATCTCTTGCTCCCACCACCAAACACCTGAACTCCTTCAATAAGCCGCAAGGAAAAAGAAAGAAAATTCAAATGTGACAAGAGTCCCCTGGCATCAAAAATGAATAAAGAAAACTTTCTGAGACTAGAAAAGCCCCTAACATGGGAGAAGATATGAGAACAAAGGGTTCTGGGGATCTAGGGGCAGAGGACACCTCTGCCATGCTTTTTAGACATGTAGCCTAAAAGACAGCAAGATATCAGAGGGAGATGAATATGGTGTTCTTTGCAGTCATGTTCATCAGTAGTCTTAGAGAGACTCCTGCATCCCCAGTTTGATTCAGAAAAAGCAGATCACTAGACCAGCTGTGGACAAACTATGGCCCACGGGCCGGATCTGGCCCATTTGAAATGAATAAAATTAAAAAAAAAGACTGTACCCTTTTATGTAATGATGTTTACTTTGAATTTATATTAGTTCACACAACACTCCAGCCATGCTTTTGTTCCGGCCCTCCGGTCCAGTTTAAGAACCCATTGTGGCCCTCGAGTCAAAAAGTTTGCCCACCCCTGCACTAGACCCAAAGAGTGATGTGAACAGGGTAGTAAGCATCCCCTTAGTAGAGGGACCTGGGGAACCAGTGAGGAAGAATCAGACCATCTCATGCCCACCACCCAAACACCTGGGACTATGTGAGACTCTTGAGCTGTTGCATAACTTTGTGTGGGGAGAAGGATCACTTTTATAAGAACAATCCTTTATATGACAATACATACTTTCTTGGCGTGCCCAGATACAGCATAAGTACTAGAAGAGGAACAATGCTAGAATTGAAGGAGTTGAGCCCAGAAAGTGAAGAAATTCTGAGGATCAGAAGTTTTTCTTGAGTGGTGTAGTAGCCAGTGAGAGAAATAACATTTGGCTTGGGACACTGAGATTTTTTCCTCATCTCTCCATTTTTCTTGTTCTTCTCTCGTCCTACCCACATTTTGTCCTATTCTGAATATGAAAGTTAAGATTACAATAACTTATAATGTTGCACTTATCATTGGTTACATTTTATTTATGGTTATAATTCAGAACATTACTCATTTTTCAAGGATTTCAGATTTCTTTCTGGAAATGTCTCTTCAAAAAACTTTGAAATATGTGAAAATTCACTGTTGAACATCCCTGGACATAATTCAGAGGCTGATTGAGGGAAAGGCTGAATTTTTGGCTTTAGAGGATAGTTGTGGTTTGGCAATGAGAAGCTGGGAAAATTGGCTTCAGGAAGAGGAAGAACTTCACCTTTCTTTAGTGGAGGGAGTCGGTAAACATATCCAATTTGTCTCCATTTTAAGGGAAAGTGACCTTTGCCTGGACCTCTATCTTCTGAGTGCTTATGTGGTGGGCCATGGCCCCAGTGATGGT